TAGATACGTACATGCCCTCCATTCTAGATTCAGTAATTGTTAATATGCCGTCACATTTGCTTTTCCATCTGTGTGTGTATATACTTTTTTCTTGTTGTTTGAAAGTAAATCCTGATACCACCTCATCATTCTTCTTCTTGGGCATTTTCCTATATAACAGCAATACTATTATTTTTCTTAACTGTAATTCTGTAATATCATCTTACCTATCCAGGCATATTCAAATTTCTTCTGTTGTACCAAAAAATTTTTTGTATTCCTGCTTTTTAAAAAACTTGAGTCCAGTCAGATTTCTTTTCTTTCTTTCATTTATTGAGTCTTATCTGTCTTTTACTATTTGTGAACAAAGTATGTATCTTTATATATTTGGGTCTCTATTTTCTGTCAGCAATGTTTTGCAGTTCTGAGGTCTTAAACATCTTTTGTTAAATTTATTCCTAGGGATGCTTGGGTGGCTCAGTCGTTAAGCGTCTGCCTTTGGCTCAGGTCATGGTCCCAGGGTCCTGGGATCGAGCCCTGCGTCAGACTCCCTGCTCAGCGGGAAGCCTGCTTCTCCTTCTCCCACTCCCTCTGCTTGTGTTCCCTCTCTTGCTGTCTCTCTCTCTCTCTCTCAAATAAATAAATAAAATCTTTAAAAAAAATTATTCCTAAATATTTTGTTGCTATTGTAAATGAAATTTAATTTTTTTTATTTTCCAATTGTTTATTGCTAGTATGGAGAAATTCACTTGTGTTTTGTGTATTGGCCTTGTACTCTGTGACCTTGGTAAATTAATTTATTAGTTTCAATAATTCTCTTACAGATTCATTTGGATTTTTTATGTACACAAGCTTGTTATTTTCTTCCCTTATTGACTATAATGGTTGCAGTGGACATCCTTGCCTAGTTCCTAGTCTTAGAAAGAAAGCATTCAATATTTTATCAATAAGTATCATGGTAGCTGTAAAATGTGTTTTTTTTAGATGGGCTTTATCTGTTTGAAGAAGTCCCCTTCTATTCCTGTTTTGCTTAGAGTGTTTATTATGAAGAGTTGCTGAATTTTGTTAGATGCTTTTCTGTGCATCTGTTGAGATGAACAAGCCATTTTTTTTTCTTTTCTGCCTTTTTTCTGAAATATAGTGAAATTCATTGATACTTGAACCTTACATTCCTGGGATTCCACTTGGGCATTGTATGTTATACTTTATATATATATATTATTGGGCTTAATTTGCTAATATTTTATTGAAGGTTTTATGTCTATATTCATGAAGGATGTTGATCTGATAATTTTTGTTTCTCATATTGTCATTGACTTTTAGTATCAAGGTTACTCTAACTTCATAAAACGAATTAAGAAATAATCCCTCTTTCTCTCTTTTCTGAGTTTAAGATTGGTATTATTTCTTCCTTAAATGTTATATAGAATTCATCAGTGAAACTGTCTTAACCTGGAGTTTTCTTTTGGGAAATTTTAAAATGTCATATTAAATTTTAAAAATAGAGTATAATTCATGTTTTCTATTTCTTCTTGAGTCAGTTTTGGTAAGTCCATGTGGCGCTGTTTATGTATGTCTGTATGGTGATGCCCCCTTTTTCATTCCTGATAGTGGTAATTTGTGTCTTCTCCATCTTTCTCAGAGTCTTTCAACTGTATTGATATTTTCATTAAAACACGTTTGCTTTCATTGGTTTTTCTCATGTTTTTTTTTCTCTTTCATCAATTTCTGTTCTTATCTTTATATCCTTTTCTCTACTTGATTTGTCCTTAATTTGATCATTATTTTTACATCCTTGAAACAGAGGCTTAGATCATTGGTTTTAGACCTTTTTTTTCTAACATCATTTAATGCTGTTTTCTTCTATGCCCTGTTTGACCAGCATCCCACAAATTTTGATATGTTGTGTTTTTATTTTCATTAAGTTCAAAATATTTTCCTAAAGCCTCTGTCTTCTTGCTCCAACATCTGAATTATCTTTGAGTCTGGCTCTGTTGATTGCTATGCCTCTAGACTCTTTTTTGTGTGGTTTTTGTTTGATTGTTTTGTTTTTCTTGTTTTTTTTTCATATGTCTCATAATTTTTGATTGTCCATAAAAGAGTAAAGGCTGAAGTAAAGAGATTTAAAGCCTATGAATGGGTACACCTCTTCTGTGTGGCTAATGTGGGGACTTAAGTCAGTCTAGTCAGGAGTTAAACTGGGATTGAGTTTTTATTTTGCTATAGTTATCTTCATTGAACCAGAGGCCTCAGATTCCTCTAATGCTGCCTGAGATGTAGGACAGAGGTGAAGTGTCAGTTTTTTTCTCAGTGTTTGTATTTGCTCTGTATGCCTGCTTGATAGAGGGGTTTCTCTTCTCACTCTTGCCCCCTCCTCAGTGGTAAAGTGGTCTTGCTTGTTAACTCAGTGCTTTCAAAGTTAATAGAGGAGTGGACACAGGAAATGTTCTTTGTTGTTACTGTATGGCGTTGGTCTTAGGTGATTATGTATGCTTGGACCTTAAGGTGGGACTTTCTCAGAGTTTCTGATGCCTCCCTCATCAGGTCCTCTAGTCCTACTGATAGAAGATTCTGGGCTTGGGACTGTTCTTATCCCCATTCCTTCTGACTATTGAGGTGAGGGTTTTTTCCCTCCAACAATGAGGCATGGAATTTGCTTCACCTTCCTCAGTGATTTACGACTAGGCAGGGTAGCAGGCTTTTTTTTTTTTTTTTTTGTCATGGTGGCAGCCAATTCCTTGCACCACTAAGAGAGACTCATGATCTTTTACCCTGTTTCCAGTCATCCTCATGGCTACCCATTGGAGGTGTGTGGAAAAGAACCTGTGAGTGCATGCAAACTGTCTGGGGGCACCTAGGGGTTTTATACTGTCAGGCTATTCCATACTCAGCCATTAGCAGTTTCTTAGAATTTTAACTGATTTCTTCTTCCCTGCTTGCTTGACAGTGGTATCTTCTTCTTGCTTTGCCACAGGTGACCTTTTTCTAGCATTCTGTTTCTCTTTAGAAGTAACTGTCAATCCTTGGGATTCAGACTACCCGATTATCTTATGGCTTTAGTGCTCTGATGGATTCAAGAGACATTTTCGGTTATTTAGAGGTGTTAACAGTTTCAAGTCCTATGTCCTAGGATTTTCCAAATATCTTTTAGTTACTGACTTTTCATTTAATTCCATTGTGGTCAGAGAACATACTTCATTATACTTTGGATTCCTTTAAATGTATTTATTTATTAAGACTTGTTTTGTGGTCCAGGATATTTTATTTTAGTATTTTAGTGAACATTCTGTATACAATTATTGGGTGGGATATTCTATTGTGAATTCAAGTTGTTTGAAATTGTTCAGATCTTTGGTGCTTGGTGCTTGCTTTTGTCTGTTTTTTCTCTATCAGTAATCAAGAGAGGGGTGTTTAAATTAGCAACAAATTCTGTCAATTCTCCCTTCATGTATTTTGCAGCACTGTTAATTTGGAATTGTTACATGACTTCTTGATAAATCAGTCCTTTTATCATGCTTATCAAATGTGCATTTTTTTTTTCTCTAGAAATGCTTGTCTTGAAGTCTGCTTCTAAGAGTAGCCTCCCAGTTGCTGCTTTCTGCTGGAATGTGTTTTTTTTCCCCCAAGTCTCACCTTGTGCACTCATGGTTTGAGAGGTTAGCCAAAGCGGGACGCCTGGATGGCTCAGTCAGTTAAGTGGCTGCCTTAGGCTCAAGTCATGATCCTGGGGTCTTGGAATGAAGGCCGGAGTGGAATCGGACTCTCTCTCCCTCTGCCCCTCCCCCTGCTGGTGCTTACTTGCTCACTTTCTCTCTCTCTCTCTCAAATAAATAAACAAATGAGCATTAAAAAAAGAGAGGTAAAGATGTGGGAGGACTTTGCATGCTGGTTTTTTGGCTTCACCCTCTGGATTCCTTTCTGGGATTTGTATTCCTCATTGTCTGCCACATTAGCTGCCTCACTTTGTGACATTTGCCTCTTCTGTCTAGTAAAACTGCTGCTTTGTGCTTGAGCTCTTACCCCCTACTCCTGATGCTGATTTGGAAGCACTCCCTTGGGCAAAATGTGTATCACACATGCTCCTTTCAAAGATTGTGTCCTTTCCTGTTTCTGCTTACTTTTGGTTGATCTCCAGTATTTTCAAATTGTTGGGCTTTTATATATTGTCCAGAGTTTATAATTGTTATTGTCAGGAGGTTAATCTGACATAAAGAGCTCTGCTGTATCCAGCACCAGAACACCTCTATGTCTCTTTTAACTTACAACAACCCCCGCTTTTTTATCCTATTCCCTTAACTGTTTGGAGATTCCTGTCCAGTCTTCTTATGAAAGTTCTACGATCAGAATATTTTACTGTTTCCCTATGGTGATGTTTCATTTGTTCCTCTATCCCTTGTACTACCTATGAACTGGAATTTAGATCAAGAGACTTGATTAGATTCAAGTTAAACATTTTTCTGCTTCATAGATGATGCTTGTACTTCCTTTTGCTTATATCAGCAGGAACATTATATTTTATTGTCTCAGTATCGGTGGTGATTGGTTTGATCACTCGGTTAAGGTAGTGCTCTTCACTGCAAAGATTTGTTTTTCCCTTTGTAATTAGTAAGTAATTTCTAGGGTGGTAATTTGCAACTCTCTTCATTTTTTGTGTCCTATCCAAATGTTTTATTCAGATGCCAGTACAGAGTACTCTGCCAGTACAGAGTTCTTATAGATTCTAGTTTTTATATGCCATATATACTTTAATGGTACATATCTCATATTATGTGGTGGTTACAGAAATATCTTTCTTTTTTTAGTAGATTTTGAGGTACTAAATGCAGATATTCCATCTTAGATATCTTTATGTTTCACACAGCACTTAACTACCATTTTGCATATAGTAGGTACTCAGTAATTTTTTTTTATAGAAAGAAAATTAGCTAAGAAATCTCAAGACTTTTTCTATTTAAAACATTTTTTAATCTCTGTATTGGGTACTGGTTAAACTTAATGTTGATTATACTTTTTTTTTGTAGGTAAATGAGAAATCGGGACAGATTATACAGTATGATAAATTTTATATACATGAAGTACAAGAATTGATAGACATAAGGAATGATTATATCAACTGGGTCCAACAGCAGGCCTATGGAATGGTATGTTTCCTATTGCATCTTATGATTTCATTTTTATGTATCATTTATTCTCACAGAAAAGAAACAATTGCTTGTTTTTGAAACACCAGTTTTTCCAGAGCTTTTATTCAAATCTTATTTTTGAAATAAAAACACATTGGGAAGGAGTAGCTACTTATTGGTAGTATTTATAAGTAGACATTCCACTCTTACACCAAAGCCCAGCCAACTAAAGAAAAATGCAAATGTGACATGGATTTTTAACTCTCACTTACTTTCCTTGAGGTTGCCTCTTAATTCTCTCATGTTGAGAATACTGGAGTCCCTGATACTGGAACTCTAGGAATATATTACTATTGTGAGATTAGTGCCTCAGAATTACCAGAAGAGAGTTGTAGGACCATTGATTCCAGTTTTTCCCCTTTAATGTTTTTAATTTTATTTCAGAGTTTTGACATAAATCCCCATGTGTACATAATTCTTCCCGTGTAGCTAAGTCTTTAGTAACTAGACACTTAATGTCCCATTAAAATAATAGCAGTCGTATAAAGCTTCATGTAGACACAGAATTTTAATATAGAAATGGGTAAGCAATTAAATCTAAAATAGATTTGCTAACCATCGTAGTATACTTGGGGCCAACTTTTTCCCCCATGAAGCAGGTAATTTAAGCAATGTGTATGTAGCAGTTGTAGAAGGGCGAGTAGTCTTTCACTGCTTGCTAGGCACCAGCTGCAAGCTCCTTGTGGATAGGCACTCTATAATTTTATTCACCAGTACTTCTAATAGTCTTTGGAATATGTGTAGTAGGCACCAAGCACAGTAGTTTTGAATGGCAGTGTGATTAGTGCATGCTAATTTTAGAATACTCTCATCTGTAGAAATCAGGTCACTTCTAGAACATCTTTTGCTCCCCTAGGTATATGCATCTTGATTGGGAGAGACTTGTTGATTTTTTTTCTCCTGGAATCATTAGGAGTCTAGGTCAAATTTGTAGCCTTTCTGTAGATTTAGGTCTACTCATTTGCTCATTCAACAAATACTGAGAATATTGAGAACCTCCAGTGACAGGCATCAGTTGAGGTATTGGAAATACTGTGAGGAACCAGACAGATAAGGGCTGTATTCTTATGCAGTTTGCAATCTGGTGGGCAAGATGGACAGTAATCCAGTAAAGCAAAAAATACTAGCTAATAATGTACACTCTATGTAGAGAATTGAAGGAATATAAGAAAGACTGTGATTGATTTCTTGCAATTGGGTAATCAGAAAAGTCCTGTCTGCTGAAGTACGGGCTATAATCTAAGTGACAAGAAGCAACCACGTAAGATCAAAGAGGATTTCAAGAAAAATGAATATCCAGTAAAAGACCTTAGGTGAGAACAAGCTTGACATGTTTGAAGGATAGAGGAGGACAGTATGGCTAAAATACAGGAGTAGGAAGAGTTCTGGGAAAGGATCAGAAATGGACAGGCACCAAATCATGGAGGGTTTAGTAAATTAGGATCAAGAACTTGGATTTTATCTGATGTGTTATGATAAGCCATCAAGATGGTCAGAATCCTGACATTGCATATAAGCCCAGACACAGCAATATAGGGTACCCTAGGTCTTTGAGCAGTGTTTTTGAAACTGGAGTCATATATGGACCCCTTTTAAAGTAAAACAGTTCCTAAGAAGTCCAGCATTCACTTACATTATTTATGATTGTCTTATTTAAATATGTTCAAACACTAAACTAGTTCTGAACTCCTGGTGCCTAGATTTTAAAAGAACTCTAAAACCATAACAAATTTATAAATTAAGTATAAATAACACTACAAATTTAAAATATCAAGTTAATATTAGAGTGGAGGATAATTGTTTTGATGAATCTCACCTAACAGCCTAAATAGGATGAGAAAGTAGTGTAACATAAGAGCACCTGGGTTCAAATCCCAGCTTAGCATTTATTCACTGTGTCCTTGAAGAAATGACTTCTTTTTCTGTAAATTAGGGGTAACAGTACCTACCTTTTATAGTTACTGAGAAGATTAATTGGTATGATCAATATAAAGTGCTTAGGGCAGTTCTTGGCACATAGTTAAGTCTTGGTAAAATGGTTATTGCTGGCTGCCTATACACAGGCTTTGGTTGGCAATAGCTTCTATTCTGAGGTGTGTGATAACTCTGTTATCTTGCTGTCTTTCTCTGTTTGAACTACAATGAAACATTTGCTTTTAGAATGAGATGTCATGCTCATTTGGCCTTCACTCATCAAGCACATCATTTATGTATGAAGTCCTAGACATAGAGATCCTTCCTGTTTGGTGCCAGTGTGATTACATTCACAACCATTGGAACTCTTGGGGTTTCATGGAAATACTGGGATTATAAATGGATTTTCCTAATTTTAGATTTTTTTAATCAATTTTTTAAAAATTCTGGTATAAAAACACTAAAATTACAAATTCTCCCAGAGCACTTATAAGACCCCTAAAATTATATCCTTCAGGGGTCTGCAAGCCTAGTTTGAGAAACATTATCTTGGAGAGTCATATCCTCCTGTGTCACTATGAATTAGATACCTTTGCCTTCTGAATTTATATCTAGTATGTAGGTCATAAAATACTTGTATTCTGAGCAAGTAGGACAAATCTAAATTAGCCAGTCTAATAGGATTTTTTAGTTTGTAGTAATCTTGGTGCTGTGTGGAAAAGCTGTGGTTTGTTTGCTTTTTAAGTTTGGCAGGCATGTATCCAAGCTCCTCTTGGTATATAGCTGTAGTGATATCAAATTGAATTTCCTTAGGAGTTATTTCAGTGCTATTGTTTTCTGCTGAGGGGGAGACAGTAGGCTTTTCTAGGCTTTTCCTCTTTGTTTCTCGTTCTTTCCAGATTATGTGTTTGCTATACTTGATAATTGCCCTCTGTTACTCTGCTCTTTCAACCACAAGCTTTTCCTTTCTCTTCATTTGTAGAAAGAATGAGTGAAAGCTTTTCTTTATTTAATTTGCATAGTGGGTTTAATATCACATCTTAGAAATCAAAATGTAGAACCTGTGATTTGTTCTTCTATACCTTTGGGAATAGAAAGCTTTCATTTACTTTGAAGAAGGTCTTTGTGCAACTCTTATAGTTTATTAATTTATATTACAACATTGGATTTCACAAAGCTTCTTTCTTTCAGAGTTCAAAGCACTTTCACATTTCACATTTACACATAACTCTAAAGACATTTTTCCTGGGGCTTTTTAATAAAATTCATACTTACATTACTAGTCATAATGCTAAGCTTAACTATCACATTAACACTCTAAGTAAAATTTTAAAGAATCTACCCTAAAGATAATTACATGCTATTTTGTAATGATTTGGATGTGTATGTATGTGTGTATGTATATGTATGCATATGTATACCACTATTGAGTAAGAGTTACAGTCTTGAAATAATTCCATTGCTTCAGTGTGGAAGCTTAAAATATTCTTTGATAAAACATAATTACTGTGAGTTATAAGGAGTATATGTCTATAAGTATTATATATATACACACGTATACATACATATATAAAATGTATGTATATATATGAAAACTTTACATTGTTCTAAATACTGCAAGGAAATTATTTTACCTGTATTATATTCGTCTTCATGCTATAATCTTTTGAGATATTTTTTTCCTCCCATTTCTTTTCTTTCCCAGTTAAGGATTTTAAGAATCCAGCAGGTATACACTTCCCTTATCCCTAAACATTTAAAACTAATTCTGTGAAGTTCTTTGCTTTTCTTATAATATCCTTTTGTACTGCTGAGACTTCTAACTTTACCTCATCCCCTTTCATTTTCCCATCCCTTTTTCCCTCTTTCTTTTTACATGTTTTTATAAAGTTTTTGTTTGAATCCTATGTAAGCTTCTCTGTTTTTTGTTTTTCAATACTCTGATCTTGGTGTATGAAACTTTTTTTCAGTTGAATTCCTTTGCTTTTTTCTATTTTTCTCCTTCTACAGTTAATCTCTTGGCAAAATAAAATGGCACATGGGTTCTCTTTCTCTTCTGCTATTTGATTTTTCTCCACTTTGTAGTACTGTTCTCAGTTGTATATTTCCTTACCCTCTTTTAACTTTGCTTTTAAGTTGAAAATACTTCAGTGGTTGCTACTAAACTCTGCTCTTTTTTCTTCCCTTTCTTATACTTCTAATTACTGTACATACATATCATCAGTATTTAGTAAAAATTGACTGATTTAGACTGAAGTATAGAAAGGTATGTGCTGGGTCTGCTTGTTTGAATTACTATACGATTAATGTTAGGCATTTTTAAAAATACATACTCACTTATTTCAAGAACTGTATAGCTATGTAAGGCATGCAGATACAAGTAGATACTAGTGAAAATACTTGGTGAAATTTTTACAGTCTTTGATGCTACCTTACATATATATATTTTTTAAGTCATAAGTCATATATTTGATACTAGTGCTGTATGTATAAATCATCACTGTCTTTGTTCGATGGAGATAAAGTTGTACTTTAACTTTGGACAGCGCTGAGCTAGCTATGTGACATGTTCACCAGCAAACTAGAAAGATAGACTGATGCAGCAGTTGGGGAGACCAGCTTAGGAAAGATACATCAGTACTTTCTAGGTTTGAGTTTTGTTCTCATTAAATAAAAAGAAGAAAAGTACATTTGTGCTCCTTTGCAACTGTAATATTTCCTAGAAAAGTTCATCCTTGCTTTTTAAGCTCTCTTAATCCTTTTTAATGGCATTAATATTTTGCTGACTAAATTCTTCGACTAACTCCTTATGCCTTGGATTACCAAATTATGTTTACATATTTCCATTTCCTTCATGTTTTAGAAGTTATCTTGTTTCTATCTAGTTACCAAGACCTTTCATTTTTACTGGAATTACTTCATCAACTTCAGTATCCCCTCTTTATGTCTTCTTAGAATAATCCTGTGTTATGTCATTATATCAAGATGACACCAGCAGTGATATAATGTTTTGCCGTAAGTAACTAGTTGAAACTAAAACGTGCTGAGGAGCTCCATCTTTTTGTCTATAACCAACTGGAACCATCATTAATCATTGGTATTAAAAGCATCCTTAGTGAAGTCTGTTTTAGACCATGAGAACCTGACTTTTGAACATTGCTTCAAACCTTTCTCACTCCAGCTTCTAGGACATTGAGTAACTAAAATTAGGCATACCTTGACCCATTTTTAGGACTCCCATCTAAAAACAGCCAACAACTAGTGCTTGAGTATGTGGATTTGGAGCCAATAGTAGGTCACACATTGAATGATATGTTGAATTTTTAGTAATAGACCTTTAATTTACCTCACATGTTCTATGATAGCCCATCTCCAACCCCCACTTGACTTTGTTTTCCTTTTAAAATTCTCTTGGAAATACTACTTTGACTTTGACTACTTTGCAACTAATATAACAACTACCTTGCAACTCTAATATTTCTTAGAAGAGTTCAGCCATTGCTCCTTTAAGCATTTACCTTTTTTTCTTTTTGCATTTACCTTTTTAAAAATGTTTGAGCTTCAGGGCACCTGGGTGGCTCAGTTGTTAAGCATCTGCCTTCAGCTCAGGTCATGATCTTGGCATCCTGGGATTGAGCCCCACATTGGGCTCCCTGCTCAGCTAAATAAATAAAATCTTTAAAAAAAAATGAGCTTTTGTCTATGATCCTTAACCCTTACACTGAAATTTCTAATAATGATCTTAATCTGGTTTACCCTTTGATGCTGCTCTCCTAGACAATCATTCTACTTGATATCTATCAAATTTTCCATATGTCCCATTATTTCCTATATCCTTTTCAGCTTACAGTCAAACTTAGGTTCTGCTTTAGTATGGTTTAGTCACACCATAAATTCTAACAATCTTACTGACTTCCCCAGTGCATAATGATATGCATAGCACCTTTATCTATTTACATGTAGCAATAAAAAAATAGTGCTTATATATTGCTTTATTATTTACTTAAAAAAATTAATCTCCCATGATCTAAACTGTCTTGGTATCTAGTGTAGTTATCAAGCAGGCTATAGGTAGCCAGAAAATATTGAAAGGTGTTTCTTTGCTTGTTTAGACTTTCATAGTAATAATAGTACTTTTTAAATGTCCCACAAGATATACTATAAAAGAATGTCAGATGTTCCTTTTAAGTTGGTTTCAAATTAAACTGAGTGTAATCTAAAAGGCTTTCTCTGCAGTACAGCTTCTAAATATGTTCTTGTTAACATTGACAGTGGGGGCACTTATCTAGTGAAAACTTGGTACTCTGAATTTTTTGAAAGAAAATAATCAGTAATTATGTTTCTCTGAATAGGATTTGTATGGAGTCATATTTTGCTTAGGCTCATACTGCTTTGGTTTTATTTAGCACAATATAGTGAGAGAACCTTAAGTTTTTGCTCATATCTTAAAGTGTCCAAAGGTACCCCCAAGGCATGCGAGCATTTAGCATACTACGAAGTTAGAGGGAATAGTCCACACAAGACTGCCCTCACTTCTGGCACAAATTGCAATTTTGGGGGGGTTCCCCACACCCACCTTTAGGTTCAATAATTGGTTTCAAGTTCTCGTAGAACTCACTGACAACCGTTATACTGATGTTTACAGTTTATTATAGGGGAAGCACACAAATTACAATGACTCAGTTAAAATAACTAATGGCGGGCGCCTGGGTGGCTCAGATGGTTAAGCGTCTGCCTTCGGCTCAGGTCATGATCCCAGGGTCCTGGGATCGAGTCCCGCATCGGGCTCCCTGCTCCTTGGGAGCCTGCTTCTCCCTCTGCTTCTCTCTCTCTCTCTCTCTCTCCCTCTCTCTCTCTCCTCCTCTGTCTCTCATGAATAAATAAATAAAATCTTTAAAAAAAATAAAATAAAATAAAATAAAATAACTAATGGCTTAATTTTCTTCACTTTTTTTACATATAGCGTTTTAATCTACTAAAGACTTTTCAAACATTTTGTCAAAATTAATCAAGTCCTGAAGTCTGGGGAATATTTTCTCCATTTTTCCAGGTGGAGTAACTGTGAGACATAAAATTACATCTTCTAGACCAAGTTTAGGTTTAGTTTTCCTATTCTACCTAAATTCTACAAATGGGGTGCTTAGTTGCTAAAGCCAAATTTCATTATGTTCAAGCCTTGATAATTTTATGACCACAGACACATGAAACAAAGTTCTTATTTTTATAGATAGAGATACATAAGGTGCAAGTGCAAAGGGTAAGTTTTGTTGTAGGTGTATTTTGATCTACTTCATTAATTCAATATTCTGCTGTAGCAAAATATATGAAATGCTACTTTGAATAGGAATAGTTAAATTTGGACACTAACATTGCTCTTTCATTACTGTTACATTCTGCACTGCTGTCTTAGGATGTCAACCATGGATTAACTGAGGTAAGTTTGGTGTAATGCAGTCTCATGTCCAGAGTGAGATATACTCTGTTTTGTCTTAAGTGATAGGAGAGCAGGGACGCCTGGGTGGCTCAGTCGGTTAAGCGTTTGCCTTCAGCTCAGGTCATGATCCCAGGGTCCTGGGATCGAGTCCCGCATCAGGCTCCCTGCTCCGTGGGGAGCCTGCTTCTCCCTCTGCCTCTGACTCTCTCTCTCTCTCTCTCTCTGTCTCTCATGAATAAATAAATAAAATCTTTAAAAAAAAAAAGTGATAGAGCAAAAGGTTCCTGTTTTGTGTGACTTTTATTTTTTTAATAAGTATATAGGAATTGTCCTATATAACATTTCAGAGGAATTTTCTGAAGAAAAATAAAACTTCTGTTTTAGTTAACATTACACCTATATGATGCCCTTCAACAATATTTGTGTTAAAATAGTTTCTACCCTCCTAAAGTCTCACAGTATAAAATTAATATGTGTCTTTTGTAATGAGAAAAGCAGACTTTTAAAGTCTGACAAATGCTTACCCAGTAAGGTAAAAAATACTTTATATTAGAGAACTAAAATGATTTTCAGTTTTTAAACTAATAATTGATACTCAGAATGATCATAAAGTTAAATAAACTCATGGTCATCTTCCTCACTTTGTATAATACACTATCTTAACATATAAAGTTCTAGCACTTTAGTTTACATTATCAACAAACCTAAACCACCTTTTTTTTTAACACTTGGGATCATTATAGTACTTCTTTTATACTTCTGTTATAGACTTTAGGTTTTATTGTTTTGTTTTATTTTTTCCCAGCACTTGAACCAGTGAAACATTTAGAATTAACTTTGTATCATAGGCCTAGTATTGTTTGCGTCCTCATCTTCACACAGAAATAGTACATAAAATTATGAAATCATAGACTTTTGGAACCAGAAAGGACCTTAGAAATCATCTTGGTAGTTTTGAGTTTCAGAGTAGTGAAATCACTTTCTGCCATCAGTAGGTAGTGACACAAATACAGGATCAAGGTAAAAATTGTCATATGAAGAACAGTGAAGAATGATGATTTAAGGTTAATATAACTCAGCCTGCTGTCTTATATGTTGACAATAAAGAGTTGATAATCTCATCATATTCTATACTGTTTGGGCTCTATTGAATTATTTTGTTTTCGGTAAGAGAGACTTATTTAAAAGAAGGCATTTAGGTTGGAGAAGGGCTGGAAACCATATTCAGAATGGCTGGAAAAACTGGGAATGTTTACTGTAGAAGAAAGACAATTTAGAGAGAGCCTGGGGACTTGAAATATGTTAAACCGTATATGCTTTCCTGCAATGAAGACTGAAATACAAATGAAGTGATGCATAGTAATGTATAGAAATGTGAATTCAGACTTTAAATAAAGAGAACTTCCTAAGCACTTAAGAAGTGTGTTGTTTCATGATGTATTGTCTTCACAGAAACTTTACAGCAGGGGGCTCTGTTTCAGGGCTGACACAAAAACATTGCCTTGTTGGGTACCTGGTAGGAATCCTCCTCCAACTGCAAGAATCTGTGGCTCTTTGTATTTTTCTGCATTGTTAAAATACTTAGCGATCAATCACTGTATTACTTGCTAGGATAAATGTAAAGTGATTAATGTGTGATAATGGTAATAATATTTCAGTTTTCTCAACTTCAAAGGTTGACAGAAAATAATACTGGTGGTGCTAATTTTGTAGGTTAAAATGAATGAAAGATTGTTGGACTTATTTGTTGGCACTCTAATGACATACAATAAATACCTGTTAAATGAATGAATAATCAGATTGCTTATTATTGGCCTCAGTTGCTAGAGTAGCCCTAAAATATAAGAACTGGGTAATGTATTTAACATAGGAGCCCCCAATTTTATTTTATTTTTATTTTTAAGAGGGAGGGAGGGAGGGGAGAGAGGAAAAGAGGCGGGGAGAGAGAAGAGAGTCTTAAGCAGGCTCCATGCCCAGCACGAAGCCCGATGTGGGGCTAGATCTCACAATCCTGAGATTGTGACCTGAGCTGAAATCAAGAGTTGGATGCTTAACTGACTGAACCACCCAGGTGCCCAGGAGCCCCCAGTTTTAGAATATATTTGCAGCCTAATTCACTGAATCTTGGAATTTACAATTGTATGGACTTTGAAGTATACAATTCCCTCCTACAATTGGGGTTATTGGGAATTGAGGTTATTCCACTGCCTTACCTGATTATCAGTAAAAATTCCATATTTGGAAGTAAGCAATATGTTTTAGTTATAATTCCTGAACAGCAGATAAGTGAATAAACCAAGAATATGATCAGCTTTAAAAGAAATGACAGCACCTACAATAAAATATATCACAAGTCAATTTGTACTAATATGTTAATTTTTTATTTCTAGTTGGCAGATATCCCTGTTACAATCTGCACATATCCATTTGTATTTGATGCCCAAGCAAAAACTACTCTGTTACAGACAGATGCAGTGTTACAGATGCAGGTAAAATATAGTTTAATACAAAACTGATTTGAGAATGGTTTTTGAATTGTTTCTGTGAGGTTTTTTAAAAAGTAAATATTTGAATTTTGCCTATAATCAGTAATCCTTGGGAACATTCTGTACCTCAGTGGTCTGGCTTTTGCAAAGTACCTTTGGTACCTTATAAAGAAGACTGTTGCATTGGTTACATGTATATTCTTATGAGGGCTACTTATGTATATTTAAATGAAAATAGAATAGCCTTTAATAATTTTATATCTAAAAAAAGGTATGAGCCTTTTTGTTACAGAAATATGCAATTTTTGTAAACAGTTTTACTAGTTTCCTTGATAAACATTGGTTTGTTTCAAATCTTGCTTCATTATATATTCCATATTTATATACTTGGTAAAAAATGGAAGTAACTAGAGATGAGATGAAGTAAAGTAAGAGGAATTTGATCACTTGTTAGGGGGAGGATATGAAGTTTCCTTGAAGAAAGTTTTTAGTAATAAGGCATTTTCCTAAGATTAGTCATCTCCTGCTCCTCTCTCTTTTCTCCCCCAACCTGCTCTGTTTTATGTTGAACATTTTTTCATTTATAATGAGATTTTTTTAACTGATTTATGTTAAAAAAGAGCTTTGAGAGCTACAGTAGATTTGCTTTATCTTTTCAGCCTGTAAATTAAAAAGGTTTTGAGTTTTTAGCAGAGTATCAGATGGTAGAAGCTAAGGACTAAGAGAAAGATGGGAAGAAACCTTGAGCAGTTAATATTCTAAAAATGCTTTAAAAAAAATTATCCCCACCCCAATTTTGATAGTTATTTTCATTCCTTTAAAATAAATGCATTTAGTATTTTAAATGCCTCCAGATATTTAAAGCATAAATAGTAGGGGAATTTTAGAGGTGCTTATATCCATTTTCATCAACAGAAGAAATAAGTATTTTTATAGGGTTTATACTAATAGCTGGTGAACCAGTTTTTGGATAGTCATTGTTAAAACAATAATTGCCTCATGCTTTTAATATATAGTATATTCCATTTTAGAATAAGAACACAGGAAAAACCATACAAAAAAAACAAAGGTTTTAGATGGTGAAGGCCAAATGCTTGGTTTGTGAGCACATGTGGTGATCACTGTACTAGATGAATTTCTATACTACTACTTAGCCAGGCTGTTCCTTATTCTCATTAGAGGTTGTTTTAATGTTGTTTTCTTTTTCTTCTCACTCTTCATCCATGTTGTTTTTTGAGAAATAGCAGTGTTCAGATTTACCATATTATAGTTCCTTGCTTGTTTAATGGTATCATTAGATATACTTCAGTCTAAACATTCAAAAGGATACTCTTTATGCTGAGAATACAGTTTTATTAAGCTTATAACGGTATTAGGTGCTCTGTGAATTCAGTAGTATAGGTAGTATTATAGGAATTATAAATACAGGATTATAATCAATAGGTAGAAGTTAGCTTACCTAGTCACATTAGTTTCTTTATAGCATTGCTATGAAAATTTTAATCTTTTGTTTTCTAGATGGCTATTGACCAGGCCCACAGACAGAATGTCTCCTCTCTTTTTCTCCCAGTAATTGAATCTGTGAATCCCTGCTTAATTCTAGTGGTACGTAGAGAAAATATTGTAGGAGATGCAATGGAAGTCCTTAGGAAAACAAAGAATATAGACTACAAAAAGCCACTCAAGGTAATTTGACATTTTCTGTTATATATATTACAATATACGCTCAGCAATTAATAGTTTTTAATTGCTGAGCATTTATTGTTAATAAATTACATGTTATGGGCTCTTGGCTCTCTCTCGGCTCTCCAGAATATACTTCCATTTCTTTATGTTCAGTGTTTGCATTATACTATTGTAGGTTATATTTGTTGGAGAAGATGCTGTTGATGCAGGAGGAGTACGCAAAGAATTTTTCTTGCTCATCATGAGAGAATTGTTGGATCCTAAATATGGCATGTTTAGGTATTACGAAGATTCCAGGCTCATTTGGTTTTCTGATAAGGTGAGGTCCAACTGTCTAAATTATTTCTAATTTAGAGATAATTTAGAATAATCTAAGAATAATTTTAGAAATATACCTATGTATATATACCTACATGTGTCAAGTTGACTCAGTAAAGTTATTACTGGATTCCTAACATATTCAGAGATTTGCTTTATTACAGTTTGAAAAATTATAAACTTTTGGGGCGCCTGGGTGGCTCAGTTGGTTAAGTGTCTGCCTTCGTCTCAGGTCATGATCCCAGGGTCATGGGATCGAGCCCCACATCGGGCTCCTAGCTCAGCGAGGAGCCTGCTTCTCCCTCTGCCTCTCTCCCTGCTCATGCTTTCTCTCTCTGTATCTCTGTGTCTCAAATGAATAAATAAAATCTTTAAAAAAAAATTATAAACTTTTGGACTCAGAATCATCAGGACACCTTAATATTTCTCACACATTTCAAATTAGCAAAATAAATTAAAGGAACGGTCAGCCTGAGAATGATGGTGACCTTTCCTTCTGCTGATTTAGATTTGAGGATTAGACAATAATTACCAGATTAACTTTTCCTCTCGGAAGAATTAATTTATCATTAGCAATCATTGATTTCTCTACCTTATCATTTAAGGCAGAGGTAACTACTCAGCAAATTATAGTCCATAAGCTAAATTCTTTTCCACACATGTTGTTTTAAAGAAAGTCATGTCCACTCATTTACCTGTTCATGGCTACTTTCTAGCTACAACTGGAAGAGGCAGAGTTGAGTGGTTAAGACAAAGACCCTATGATCAACAAAGCCTAAAATATTTACCATTTGTCCCCTTACAGAAAAAGTTTGCTACCCTTGATTTAGAGACTATAAATGAAATGGGGATGGTTCAGTTACAGAACAAGTTGAAAGAAATTTGAATAGAATATTATTTGTTCTAAAAACCTTGATGTGTGTTATTTATTCATTGTTTCAGGAGGCTTGCTGTCCTTTGTCATGTTAGCAGTCATTGATGATCAGTGCCGAGGCTCATTAATTTATTAGGTTGCAAAAACGGTGCTACTTTTAAATTTATATTTCATTTTATTGGCTTGGATACTTCTATATAGAGAAATTTCCCTACATCTACTATTTGGTTCCTTAGTAGTATAATTCATATGGGGAAGGATTCTCTTTTCAGTTGCCAGCTTTGCAAAAGAATGAATCTGTTCATTGGCGTCATACTTCAGTGGTGACAATTTGTTTTTTAGTTTTGTTTTCAAATATTATTATTTATTCATGGATTTAAGTATATTTGATGTTTTTAGTCCATTGTAGTTATTATCTTTATTGCTGCTCCCTTCTTTGTCTAGGGAGAGCTCTACAGGTTGGAGAGTTTGTTCTGTTTTGTTTTGTTTTTTAAGATTTTATTTATTTGAGAGAGAGCACAAGTGGGGGGAGGGGCAGAGGGAGAAGCAGACTTCCCACTGAGCAGGGAGCCCAATGGTGGGGCTCAATTCTAGGACCCTGGGATCATGACCTGAGCCAAAGGCAGACGCTTAACCAACTGAGCCACCCAGTCACCCCAGTAGGTGGACAATCTGACTGAATTACAGTCTCCTCCTTGGCTTGGTCTCTTAGGGTAGTTTGTTAATGGTGTGGCAGATGGAATTTGAGAGGGTACATAGGATGGAGGCCTGTCCTGCTAGGATCACAAAGAGTTCTGTGGGCCTTTATTCAGTTCTACAGAGAGGTAATGTTTTGAAACCAGGGGAAGGGCAGTCTTTTTTTTTAAAGATTTTATTTCATTTATGTGAGAGAGCACAAGAGGGGTTAGGGTCAGAGGGAGAAGCAGACGCCCCGCCGAGCAGGGAGCCCAGCGTGGGACTCGATTCAGGGTATCCAGGACCATGACCTGAGCCGAAGGCAGTCGCCCAACCAACTGAGCCACCCAGGCGCCTGGGAGTGGTAGTTTTAACAAGCTTTATCATGGATCTCTGTGAGACCTTTCCAGTTATATCTTGATTTGGCCAATGGGAGCCCTGTTGAACTGGTTCCTCTTTTGTGTACTTTTGACATGTCCCCATTTTTCCTTAATTCTTTACATTTAATACAACAAATGTTCGAGACTCTTCTTGTGTTTATCCCAGCCCTGGCATTAGCCATTTCTCTTTAAAAGCCCTGACTTCTTCAGATGGAAATGGTATTTAGAAATTGTGTTCTGGATGCTAAGTGTACTCACTATTACCAGGGAGTCATTGCTTTCAGATTCTCGGCAGACAGAAAGAACTAGGAGCTATAACTATGTATACCTACACGTACACATCTTATGGTTTCCAGATACAAATCATACTGATACCTCTAATTCTTTTTTTAACAATTTTATTTATTTATTTGAGAGAGAACGCACGCACAAGTCGGGGGAGGGAGCAGGAGAAGCAGACCCCCTGCTGAGCAGGGAGCCTGATGCAGGGCTCAATCCCAGGACTTTTATTTATTTGAGAGATAGAGACAGAGAGAGAGAATGAGCAGGGGGAGGAGCAGAGGCAGAGGGAGAAGCAGACTCCCTGCTCAGCAGGGAGCCTGATGTGGGACTTGATTCTGGAACTCCAGGATAATGACCTGAGCCGAAGGCACCCAAGATTGTTTTGATTATTAGGGGTCTCTTGCAATTTTGTATGAATTTTATGGTTAGCTTGTCCATTTCTTCAAAAAAGGCCATTAAGGATTTGATGGAGAAGGTGTTGAATAAACGTTTTGTTCTTTTTGATGCTGTCATAAATTGAACTTTTTCAGAAATTTTATTTTTGGTTTGTTCATTGCTAGGGCACAGAAATACAGCTGCTTTTTGTATGTTGATCTTGTATCATGCAATTTTGCTGAATTCATTTATCAGCTCTAATAGGTGGTTTTGTGGATTCTTTAGGATTTTCTTTATATGAGATTATGGCATCCACAAATGAAATAGATTTAATTTTACTTCTTTCCCTCCAATTTAAATACCTTTATTTCTTTTTCTTGCCTAATTGCCCTGGCTAGAACTTCAAAACACTGTCAAATACAAGTGGTAAGAGTGGACATGCTTTTCTCATTCCTGATCTGAGTTGGATGTTAGCTGTGGATTTTTCATAAATTCCTTTTATCATGTTAAGGAAGTTCTCTTCCATGTCTAGTTTGTTGAGTATATTTATCATGAAAGAAGAGTGGGATTTTCTCAGATGCTTTTTCTGCTTCAAGATGATCATGTGCTTTCTTTCCTTCATTCCATTAATGTGTTGTATTACATTGGTGCATTTTCTTATGTCAAGCCACCTTGTATTCTTTTTTTTAATTAATTTTTTTTTTAAGATCTTATCTATTTGACAGAGCATAGGCAGGGGGAGCAGCAGGCAGAGGGAGAGGGAAAAGCAGGCTTCCCGCCGAGCAGGGCTGAAGGCAGCCGCTTAACCGACTGAGCCACCCAGGCACCCCACCACCTTGTATTCTTAAGATAAAGCCCACTTGGTCATGGTGTATAATCCATTTAGTTGACCTGTATTCTGTTGATGATTTTTCCATCCTTATTTGTTAAGGATACTGGCCTATAGTTTTCTTTTTGGTGTTTGTGATGTCTTTGTCTGTCTTTGGTGTCATGTTAGTTTGACCTCACAGATGAGTTAGAAAATGTTCCCTCATCTTCCATTTCTTGAAAAAGGAACAATTGGTGTTACTTATTCTTTAAATGTTTGGTAGAATCTGATCCTAGGCTTTTCTTTGTTGGAAGGGTTTTTTTGTTTTATTTTGTAAGATTTTATTTATTTGAAAGACAGTGAAAGGGAGCATGTGCGCAGGGGGAGGGGTAGAAGGAGAGGAGAGGGAGTCCTAAGCTGACTCCCCACTGAGCGTGGAGACTCACATGGGGCTCAGTCCCCCAACCCTGAGATGGTGACCTGAGCCAAAACCAAGAGTTGGACGTTTAATCAGCTGAGCTACCCAGGTGCCCTTTTGGAAGGTTTTTTATTTTGAGGGATTTTTAAAAGATTTTATTTATTTGAGAGGGAGCATGAGCCGGGGGAGGAGCAGAGGGACCCCAAGATCATGACCCAAGCCAAAGGCAGACATTAACTGACTGAGCCACCTAGGCACCCCTGGAAGTTTTTTAATGAGTGATTCAGTTTCTTCTTATAGGTTGTTTCTTAGGGGTTTGTTTGTTTGTTTGTCTTTAGATTTTCTAATTCTTCTGGTGTCAGTTTTGGTAGTTTGTATGTTTCTAGGAATTTATCCATTTCATCTAGATTATCTGTTTTGTTGTCATACAGTTGTTCATGGTATTCTGTTACAATCCTTTTTATTTCTGTAAGAATGATAGTAATGTCCCCACTTTCAGTCCTGATTTTAGTAATGTGAGTCTTTTTTTTTTCTTGGTCATTCTAGCTAAAGGTTTGTCAGTTTTGTTGATCTTTTAAAAGAATCAACTTTTGGTTTTGTTGCTTCTATGTATTGTTTTTCTATTCTATATTTTATTTATCTCCACTTTAATCTTCATTGATAATCTCCCACTACTAGCATTGGATTTAGTTTGCTTTTCATTTGGTAGTTCCTTAGGATATAAAGTTTGGTTACTGATTTGAGATATTTTTTCTTTTTTAATATATATGTTTATAACTATAAATTTATGAATACTGATTTCACTGTATCATATAAGTTTTTATATTGTGATACCTTCTTTGACCCATTGGTTGTTTAGGAGTGTGTTAATTTTCACATCTTTGAATTCTCCATATTTCCTTTTGTTTTTTTTAAGAATTTATTTTTAAGTAAGCTCTACACCCTACGTGAGGCTCAAACCCACAACCCCAAGATCAAGAATTGCACACTCCACCAAATGAGCTAGCCAGGCGCCCTGTCTCCATATTTCTTCTGTTGTTGATTTCTAGTTTTATTCCATTGTGGTCTGAAAATATATTTTTAATGATTTTAGTCTTTTTAAATTTATTGAGACTTATTTTTTGACCTACATATGGTCTCTCCTGGAAAATGTTCCACGTGCACTTGAGAACATGTATTCTGTTGTGGA